ATGGGAGGGAGGTGTTCGAGCCAGGCTCGCGCTGAGTCTGACAGGAACAAGGGGAGGTTGCGGATGATGAGCAGGTCATCGTCCGCGCCACCTAGTTGACAAGCCAGGCGGTAATCGGCCAGCCACAGCTCGGGGTTGGTCTCGCCGCTGTACTTTGCGAGGATGGCCTTGATGAAGACTCGAGGGCCAGGCGGCCTAGGAGAAGGACTGCGGTCCTCCTCACAGTCGTAGCGGCCACCTCGGTGCGGGTGGTAGCCTCGGGCGGGCCCATCGTTGTCGTGGCGCCGTCGCCTGCTGACCACCTCGTGGTCGCCTTGCGCCTCGCGTCGGTCGCCGAGGCGGTTGTGCACCGAGGGGGCCTTGTTGGCTGTTGGTGCTCGAGCAGGCTCGGGACGAACCGAGGCCTCTCTATCCTGCCGATGCGGTGCCGTGGGTAGTTCCGCGGCGCCCCCATGCCGTCGAGAGGCGGAACTTTCGGCCTGCTGTACCGCGGCAGTCTCAAGGAGGTCTTGGAGCTCACCGTGGACCCGTCGCCCCTCTGAGGTAGAGGGCTCGGGCATTGTCCGGAGTAGCATCGCTGCCGCCGCAACGTTCTAGCTAGCGCGATTGAAGATAGGGGGTTGCTCGCCCCCTTCATCGTTGTTGATGCGGTGGTTGACATCGTGAGCCCCCCGCCGGGCTGCTCCGCCATCACCGCGACCCCGCTGCTCTCGCTCGAGAGTGTCTTGGAGCTGCTGCAGAAGGAGTCGGTCTTGTTCGACCTTGGCCTGAAGCTCATAGAGCTGCTCCAAGTCAAGGCGTCGAAGTTCCTCATGGATAGGGTTCTCGTTCCGCGCTGCCGGGGGTTCGATGCGTGGAGGTGTGGCGTCGCCTACCCCCTCGTGGGACGGGGAGCGATTGCCTGCCCCTTCGTCCTCATCGCCCGCTCTCGACATCCCGAGCTCGACGTAGAAGCACTCACGAGTGGGGTCGTAAGTGCCTTCGCCATTGGAGTCGAAGTAGCCAAAGCAGTAGTCGCTCGCGGCCATGAAGCGGCGCATGGCTTTAGGGTCACGAAGCCCGGAGAAGTCCGCTCTGGCCCACGCCTCGTCCTCCTCCGAGGAGTCAGTGTGGGTGTGGGTCGAGGTTGTGGTGAAGAGGTCGAGGGCGAAACGTTGGTGGCGTCCTGAGGGCTCCGCGTGAGCGGAAGCGTAGGCGAATGCATAGGCGGCGGCATTGCTCAACCCGAAGGGGTACGGGGATGGTGCCATCACCGGGCTGCGCTCCGCTGGAGTCGATTCCTCAGGAGGTGGCAGGGCAGAGCTTGATGACGGGGCGTTGCTGCGCGCCACCACCGGCGTCTTTCCCTTGCCCTGGCTTAAGCTGGACAGGTCCCCAACCAGGGACTCTGTACCAACAGCCGGGTGTGGGATATTGGCAGAGCGTGGTATGTCGCCCTAAGCTCGTAGGGTGTCGGGGTGGTCCCGCCTGTGTCGTACCTGGCGAGCATGACGCGAGCGGTGGCCCGGGTGCCGTCTGCGTCTGGGCTGCTGGTACGTGATGTCGTCGTCGGTCGGTGGGGCTCTAGGCGTGAGGAGTACCATATCGTACTCACATCCTAGAGACATGAACTCTAGGCTCCCGAACCAGATCACCGTGCCGAGACGCAGTGGTCGCACGAGGTCTGCCATCCAAAACTTGTTGGGATGATTAAGTTAACACGCAGTATGTCCCCTACCTAGCGCGCCAACTGTCGGTGTTTTGGACCGGCGGATCCTCAACCAACTAGTGAAAGTGTACTGCGTGTCCCTAATCTGGAATGGTGATGCAAAGAGATACAAGATTTATACTGGTTCAGGCAATAGGTGCCCTACGTCCAGTCTGAGAGAGCGATCTTGTATTCCTTGCACCGAGGTGCTTGTAGTAGGGGTTTACAAGCAGGGAGAGAGAGAGGGAGTTAGTCCCAGGTCTCTGCGTAGAGCGGCGTGGGTTGCTTGAGATGTTGATCTCTCGCAGTGAGGGAGCATGCGTATTACAGAGTGTTGCTCGTTGCTTGCGCATGTGTGTCTATCTGAGCGATGTCTCCGTGAGTGCCTGCCTAGAAACGGCCCTGGTCACTCCCTTTTATAGTTGAAGGGGGGGGGGATAGAGGCGATACATGTGTTCACTACGTGGCATTTTGTGAGTGGAGGCGGTATGTTCGAGCCCTGCAGCTCGTTACTGTGGCGGTATGGTCGATGGAGCGGTCCTGTCCTTGGTACTCTAGAGCGACGCGCCGATCATGCCTAGTCCTGTGCGACGTGGGAGCTCCTATGGTGGCAGGCGCACCTTCTTCTGTTGGAGGCGTGCTGGTTGCTATATGTTTGACCGGCGTGGAGTGTTGAGGGCAGGTTGATGCGATGACGCGGGTGTGCTGACTCCGAGGATACAGGAGCTTGGTCCTGTGCGTGACGTGGGAGCTCCTGCAGCCTGACGCAGGGTATGGCGCGTTCTGCGGGCGACGTGCCGAGGCCTAGTCGATGCAGAGGCTGGACCGTCGTGGGGGGCTTGGCGGGCGCGAGTCCCGAGGCTACAGGAGCCTGGAAGCGGATAGCCGAGGCTCGGAGGGAGCAGTTAGTCTTATTCGTTGATTCTGAGGCTACAGGGACCTGGACTTGACTCTCCACGCCACGCTGTCCTTGGAGCAGGCGGGGTTAGGTAGCACAGTGCCGCATGGGTGTCAGTTGTGGGCACAGTGCTGAGCACAGCGGCCGGTAACCCCTGCCCCGTCTTGTCTCAGACTACATGGCGCCGATGTGACTCCCGTCCCGTCGGCCACTCCGCTGCACTGCGTCGATGTGCGGCTGACGTTGTGGGAGTGGTTGGACGCGTTGGTTGGATGTGACATCCTGTTAGGGAAATTGGTCAAGGCGGCGGTGATGGGGTCGATGCCGAGCCGGCCTCGAGCGAGTCGGTAACTGAGAGTTTGTCCGAGGCCTCGTGGCGCGGGGCCTTGAGCGAATCGGAGAATCGATACCTCGTCCGAGGCCTTTCGGGCGGGGCCTCGGGCGAGGCGGAGAATCGGTACCTCGTCCGAGGCCTTGCGGGGCGGGGCCTCGGGTGAGGGGGCCTCAGGCGAGGCGGAGAGTTGGTACCTCGTCCGAGGCCTTGCGGCGTGGGCCTCGGGCGAATCGGAGAATCGGCCGAGGCCTCATGGTTGTCTCTTGGCTTCGACATTTACAAGGTCTAAGCAATTTTTTCGGTTCTTGCTTAGGGTACCCCTTCCTATGGTATCCGACACCATTGACATCCCACCATAATTAAGCCTTTGCATGAATTCTATTTGCATTGTTGTCTTGTGCTTGAACTAAATTGTTTATACAACAACACATCATTTTGTCTTTAATTAATTACCTATGAGATGACCTATTATCTGTCCACACTTAACAAACGGGTTAGACCTTTAATCACGTTGTCATTCAATCATTCAAAACTCACTAAAGGGCTAGATGCACTTTCAGTGGTGCCGGCGCTTGGGATCGACCACGAACCCGTCTAGGACACGGCAGGGGCTGTAGAGATGCTGTGCTCCAACCGGATGCTCGACACCGCCGCCATTGCCAGTCGTGCGCCGCCGACCTATGTGGCCTCAACGTCCTCGCGCACGGGCTCTAGGTCCCGGAACGTCACGCGTTTCCTGCCCCTCTCCAGGCCGTCGTCGCCCATCGCGCTGCCTGAGGACGCCGACGCCCAAGACCAGCATGGTGGTCGCGCACCCAGGCGGCTCCATGATCTCGGCGATCCGTACGCTGTGATTTGCTCTTGAGCCACGTCATATACGCTCGGCCATGTTGTGCGCTCGGCCACGGCTCAGGCTCGTCCTTCAACGAAGGCGCTGCAGTCAGAATCTGGCGCGCCGCCCTTCCCCGGCTCCGGCAGGCGTGACCCAGGCTCCGAAGCCCTTCCCCGGCTCCGGTGAGCGCGACAGGCTCTGGCGGGCGTGCCGGTGCCAGTGGCCGCGAGGATGACCGGCTGGGCCTGCTGCAGCAGCCACTCGATGGTCTTGCTGTCGGACTTATGCCCGAGCTCACGCTCATCCTTCCGGAAAGCCTTCGAGCACGTGCGCCCCAGGGCGGCCTCGCTACCCAGTGCGGCGCCCACGTGCGCCACGAAGCTGGCGGACGTGACGATCTCGACGAGGGGTACGTCGACGAGGGCGTCTCGGTCCCCAGGGCCTGCGGCGGCAGGGCGTAGCCGGGGTGCTCCGCTGTGGGCTTCCGGAGTAGGCTGACCTGCAGATAACGTCGAAGACGGCGGGGCGACGATTAGAAGCACGAACGCCGCCGTGCTGCGGAAGATCATGGCTCTGAGGAGCCCCTCGCCGGCCTCGTACGAGCGTGCCGAACGTAGGCCTGAATTGTACGCACGCCGTGCTCTGCTCTTAGCCATGACATCTTGATGACGTCATATACGCTCTTTTTCCTTTTGAAAAATAAAAAAGAAATGTCTTGAAAATACAAGCATTCATATATCAGCCAGGCGTCCATTCTTTAATCTGTAGCCTAGGCGAAAGTAAGAGGGGAAGGACACTTTTCGCATTGGCTGATGACTCAGCGCCATGGCTTGCGAGCGTGTATTTTTTAGTTTATTTGTCTCTCTACCGTTAAAATCGTATCGCCGATCCGCTACACGAGGAGTCGCCATCCGGTAAAAAGTTATCCCGGAGTGAGCCTGGACCGGACTCTGGAAGGAAAAGAAAAAACTGTGGAGGGGGAAAAAGCAACCCAATCCTAGGTCACGCCGCCCATCCACACGGCACCGAAATTCCCGGCCCTTCTCGCCTCCCCGCAGCCGACGACGGCGTCCACCGCGGCGGCGGCGGCGGTCCGAGAAGAATAGCCGCCGTGCAGGCGCATTACCCGTCCTCATCCAACCAGGCCCAGCGGAAGGGGAGGAAAAGGCGAAGGCGGGGAGTAAGTCAACCGACCCTCCTCGCCGCCTGATCGTGCGCTCCCGCCACCGCCGATGCTGCGGCGCCGGCCATGGCGTCGGGGATGCTCTCATACCTGCAGGCCCTGTGGCCGTTCTCTGCCCTCCTGAGGGAGGAGGACGACCTACGCGCGTCAGCGCGGCTGATCGGGTCGCTCTCTGTGCCGGAGGAGACGAAGCAGTTCGTGCTCGCGCTCCGGGAGCCCGGCGGGTCGCCGCAGGACCGGCACCGGGACAGCGCCTGCGTGATCTACATCCTCGCCGCGCAGAACCTGTCGGAGCAGTCCGCCTCGGACGCCGAGCGCCTGATCAGGGAGGTGCGACCGAGGGCCGTGGTCACCCAGGTCGCGCGCCCGGCCCTTGAAGACGTCCGGATCGAGGAGGATTGCCTCGCCGGCAATGGAGGCGGGGGCATTCCGGTACCGGCGTCGCCGTTTCAGGTGATCAAGCGGTGCATCACGGAGAAGAGGAGCAAGGACCAGTACGTCAAGGCTGCCGCGTGCCAGGTCCTGCAGGAGATTTTTGGGGTCGGGTTTTATGGCCATCTGCTTGCTGCCAAGAGAGCTGCAGAGGAGACGGGTTCGTGTTTTCTATTGCTTGAGTCTCCGTATGAGAGGAATTGTGGCGGGGTTGGATCGTGCAGCCGGAATAGTGCTGCAGACGATAGCACAGCTCAGCCATTACAGGCTAGTTGCTTGCTAGCTCACAGCACCACGGATGATGACTCAGGTTTGCAATTGCAGGCTAACTGCTTGACCCCCGGGAGTGCCACTTCAATTGTGAGATCCCATGGTAGGAATATATGCCTTATGGATGATAATGGAGGACAACTGTTGAAGTCACTGGCACCAACTCTTAATTTCTTGATGTCCCAAGCAGTCTCATCCAATGCTGCCACTGAGTGCAGGCCATCTGAATGCAAGCCGACTGACAGATACGAGGCTCCACCATTTGCTCAGTCTGTCTACCCTTTACTTGCTGATCTTTATCATATATTTGTTGATATTCCGTCGATTGGTAGGGCTACGGCTTCTGCTCAGAAGCTGCTTACTCAAGTTCACGAGGGGAAGCCAATCAGCAGTGATATGCTATCTGATGTGTACGTATTTAGAATTGCAATAGAGGCCCTCAGGATGGGTTTAAACAGTGCAGCAAGGTCCCATATTGATACCAGAGATAAACATGGTTCAAAAGATCTGGATTTTTCAGAACTCCAATCTGATGAGAAGTGCCACATTCTTCTTGTGCAAGCTCTCAGGAGTCAGCTAAGAGAGTTTGGTTCTGTGGTGGCTATAGTTGACGCAAGCTGCTTATCTGGAATAAGGAGACATTGGAACACCCCTGTTCCTTCAGAGATTACTCAATTAGCTAGCAGATGCTTCAATCACTTTGGTGCTGAAAATGATGATAAAATTGAGGTACCTTCGGCAGACAGCACTGATAAAAAAAGTTGGATATCTGAGAAACCTGTGGTTGCTGTTGGTGCAGGAGGTACAGCACTCTTGGGCTTTTCATCATTATCAAAATCTATTCAGGCTTCCGCCTTCCTTAAGCTCGCCCCTTACAAAAGTCCAGTGGTTCTAAAGTATGGATTGATGCAGCTACAAAGACATGCTGCTATTGTATTAAGCAAGATGCTCCCTCATGGGGTTGTTACTGCTGGCTCGAAGGCTTCTGCTTTGCAGTTCACAGCTTCAGCAGGGAAGATCCGAGCGGTGGCACACACTGTAATATCATCAGCTGAGAGAACAAGCTTATTGGCTATGCGAACTTCATTCTACGAAATAATGCAGAAGAGGCATAGGCAGCCTTTCAGAATAACTCCTTGGGCAACATTTGGCTGCAGCATGGTTGCATGTGCTGGCCTTGTGATGCATGGAGATGGGATCGAGTGTGCAGCCGAGGCAGCACCTTCTGTTCCCATGATTGCTTCTCTGGGCCGTGGCCTTGAGAGCTTACGGCTCACATCCCAGGAGGTGAGACAAACAAAGGGCCAAAATGTGAAAGAAGCTTTGCGAGCATTAATGAACAGCTTGAAGAAATCAGCGAAATAAAGGGCCAACACTTCACAACTGGAGCTGTATGGATTTTTGTCTTGCGATTTGGGGGCAAGACTAAAATTATCATGAGCTGTGAAGTGCACTTTTCTGTTTGCCAAGATAGTGAAATTATGTGATTGAGCTTTGTGGGCGTGGCTAGCTTGAGCTTAGGGAGCAGTTGAGTGAGATGAGTGTGCTTTTTATTGACTCTGTACATACATACAAGATAAAATGTTCTTATTGGTATGAAAATAATTCAATAAGATTTCAATACGAGTGAAATATTTACAACTTTGCCAGAGGCGCTCAGGTGCCATGGACAGAAGTACTCCGCTAGACTCGCCATAATATCTTTTACTTCATATCCATGTACATACTAATAAGTTGTATACAGACAGAAGTACATTTTTCAGTATTCTTTTTAGGTCATGTTTGCACCTACCTACTTTGTTCTTATCACCATTTTCTTAATTTTTTTATGCTTGTACGTTGGACATATATGCATATCATTTGAAGTAAAAAAGAAGGTTCTAACTGGAGAATTTAGAGTAATTCTTGGCATCCTTGTGATATGTGCATGACTGATGTTACACATAAAGATATATCATGATTATACAACAGTGAAAAACAAAACCATACTTTGTGTTTCCTTATTTGTTACAAAAATACGGTCGATGCTGCCTATGCAAATGGAAGGCAGGCTCTTCCTTCAGACAGTTGCTGCTTTGAGGGTGAGAAAATCTGAAAGTTGATTTGTGTAGAAATCTGGCTGGATCGAGTTGTCGGGGCTCTGAAGCGTCTGCAGGGAAGTCACACCTGCAAGAGACAGCCGAGGTCAATGCTTATGCTGATGTTAATCCAGCAGTGTCTGTATCAGAGTTAGAACTGAGGAATTGATGAAACCTGAGAGAACAAGCAGAGTCTTGCAGCCTCCGTTTTGACCAAACAGGATATCAGTATCCAACCGGTCACCCACCATGCATATCTGGGATGTTGTGATTCCGAACCTGTCATGCAGGTGAAGAAACGTAAGAATCTGAAAACTTGCAGTGAGCTGTAATGATTTATTACACTTAAAATTGTGACACATCCTTCGATGAACATTTCTAATACTGAACATGTTTAGACTTAACTAAGTTTCTTACTTCTTTGCCAGGTAGTCCATCATGAAAGTGGATGGCTTCCCGACTACAAGCGGTTCTTGTTTAGTTGAACCAAGAATTGCACCGACCATTGATCCACCACCTGATGCAAGGCCAAATGTTTCATAATTGAGCAACTGGTATGTTTCGTCGTAGCATATATAGAAAGAATGCAAATAGCTTACTTACCTGCCCATTCTTGGGCATCAGTAAGATGAGTGACAGCATCCCTGTTTGTTGCGATGAAAAGGCACCCTGGATTCTCACGGATGCATAGTGTCCCATACCTAAAAATGCATTGGCGGCAAGTTTACAGGCCTTGTAGAACGATTAGTATCAAATCTATATCTATGAACATGAATGAAGAGGAGTATAACACAGTGATGCGAAGCTAAGACTTACTGAACTTTGTAGTAGTTAAAGTAGCGATCAAATCCAACCACAACTGCTCCCACCTGTAAGAAACCCAAATAGTGTGTCATTGGGTTTTCTTCTCACTATATGCCACCCCAGGACATGAAGAAGGATCATCATACATACATCTTCGTCATGCTCCATGTAAAAACCAGGCTTGAGCTCTATCTTCTTGTCTCCATCTGTCTACATGACGATAAAATCTAAGTTGCGTAAGTTTGTATTCAGACTTTGCACAGTGCTATTAGTAAATACTGATTGATATCCATGATATGTTGGCTCACTAACATTGTAATGTACTAAAGTGTCAGTGAAACTCGTCTTCTGTACAAGTGTTCTGTCATGAATTTCAGAGAAATTGTTACTTACGGGTCCACCGAGGTACTGAAATCCAGCCAACTCTAACTCCTTCAGAATCCCTTCCTCTCCAATGACATACACCTGAAGTAGCCAAAAAATGTTGTTAAACTTTGCTCATTTTTCGTACATATTTTGAATGGTGATAGTTACCTTCTTGTCCTTGGGGAAATCGATGGACTGCAGGTACGCAGCAGCTGCAAAAGACGAAGCGAAGATCTCTTCCTGCGCAGCAATCCGGTCTCATCGGTTAGCAGAAGAAACTGATGAACAGAAGCAGTTCATATTCATCACAAGTGCCGAACTACCCGACCTCGTCGATGCTCATTCCCAGCGTCTCGAACTTCTTGCCATACTGCTTCCTCGATTTGGTGGAGTTGTTGGTCACGAACACCAGCCTCTTGCCCTGAAAAGGCGTACCGGCAGCAGCTTCAGCGAATCATCAGGAAGTGACGACTGACGAGAGCATTGCGGTTTGGGACGGACCTTTGACCGGAGCAAGTCAAGAGTCTCCGGCACGCCGTCGATCAGCTTGTCGCCCTTCCAGATCACACCTGCGCGGCACACGCAGAGAAGACGCGCGAATTTGAGCAAGACCCAGCACCCACTACCCGTCTACCCAAGAAGCCGGTGGTGATCGGTGTGTCATCTGACCGTCGCAGTCGAAGATGAAGGTCTCGACGGAGTCGATGAGCGCGTCGGCGTCCTCGAGCTTGGCTGCCACCGGGGCTGCCCCCGCCGCTGCCATCACGGACCTCCTCACCGCGCAGTTCGCCGACGGCGCCGCGACCGCGGAGACCAGCCCACTGCGCCGCTTGCTCTTCCCCGAGAACGGGAAGGGCGTCGGCGCCTGCGATGAGGAGGAGGTGGTGGAGGGGAGGAAGGTCGGGGACGCGCGAACCTGGAGCATCGCCGCGGCCGCTCGTGGCGCTCTGTTTTTATTATCGGGTGGCGTTTGGTTGGCGTTTGTGTGATGTGCCTGTGTGTTATGATTTGGGCGCTACGCGCCAGCGATTCTCCCGTCTTCTTTCGATTGGTCTGCGGGCCTGTGATTTGTGGCTGGGAAGGCAGAGGGGATGGATTGGGGTCTGGGCTCGTGTTGTGGCTGCTGTTCGAGCTAGGACTAGGAGGCAACGAAAGGTATGTGATGCGAGTCCCAGGAGAGACAGAGAGAGGAGCAAAAAGAGGAAAGGATGGAGAAGTGAAATTCTGCAAGGAAGTTTTGATCAGTTTGGTAAAGAAAAATTAGGACACAAGTTAGAACAGTTCCAAACCTCTAGTCTAGAGGCTAGTTTATCTCGTGATGGCTTTTAGGCTTCCGGCGCGATTGTTGTTAGGCCCGTCTACGGTGGTGGGCTGGTGGCCCTGTTGGGCTGTTGGTGTGTCAATTCGTCGGGCGCTCAGAATCATGGCTCGCTCTAGAAGAAGTGAAGAACCGTAACTTTTTCCGCCTGGACTATGGTCACAGTTCAGGTTTACACGTTGAATCCTAAAACCATTTAAGTTGCCTCCTACTCTGGCAATTAATATAAAAATTTTCAATAGGCAATTAATAAGGTTTTAAACAAATAAAACGATCTCTAAGTTTCTAAAAGTTTTTGAGAAATATCTTAAAAATATATTGGGACACAAGAAACCCAAATAAAATATTTACAAAAGAATATAAAAATATATCTAAAATCATCCAAAAAATAGATTTAAATTTAGGAAAACAGAATTTTTTCTAACTATATTTTGAAAAAATCCTAAAAAATGTAACCAATGACCGAATATGTTTCTAAAATTTTCACAACAAAAATACGAGATGCAACCAACATGAATGCAAGATACATTGATCCTGAATGCATTCATGCTTAATGCATTTGTGATGGTTTCATCATGTGTTTTGTCGTGAAAAGTTTTTAAATGCATTTAGACATTAATTTTATTTGGAAAAAATTCAGATTTTTTTGGATATTCTTCCCATTTTCTTAAATCTAAATCTAATTTCTGGAAGCTTCTAGATATATATTCATGATATCTAATTATTTTATTTGTGTTTATCGTGTCCCAATCCATCCCTAGGATTTTTCTTAAAATTTTAATAATTTATAGACATTTTTCATAATTTGAAAACCTTATTGAAGTTTTTATTGTGATTTTTCAATTATAAAATGACAAAACTAGAAACCACTTTTAACTGGGTCAAGGAGGTTATTTAAATGATTTTGAGAGTTGATATATAAGGTTTTGCATTGGAGTTCAAGGAACAAACCCGAATTACAAACAATGAGACAAAAGTAACTTTTTACACGAGATCATGACTCGGAAGTCACGAAACTGCCAAAATCCCCGTCCTTTGTTTTAGAGAAAGGACTAGGGATTGGGATGCGAGTCCTGTATGTAGGCGCGGAGAGCCACGGATAGCTGCTACTCAGGTCATTGATGTGCAAGACATCCATTGACAACCCCGTTCACGGTGAACCATAACATCATGCATTTGGGTAACTGATGACGCAATATACTCAGGATGTCACTTCAGCTCTTACAGATTTGGCACATGAATCTTCCACCGAGAAATCACCAGTTACACACACTACAGATTGTGGCGATTGCCGTTACTGAAGACCATTTCACAAAGCCAACTTTCCGGGAAGTATCACAGGTTGAAATCAGAACAATGAAGACGATACAATCGGGCATCACCGCATCAGCGCAGCGGTGCAGCATATTACAAAGATACTAGCACAAGAGAAATGTTTTGCAAATTTGATGACTAATCCATGGAATGGTGAACCAGGATACTTCTACATTCTGAACCAAACAAAACAATGTACGAAGTTTAAGGTGCATCTTGATCAACTGATGGCTCATCAGCGACGCGTGGATCCTGCTGGTAGACATACTTCTTCGCCCAGTACAGATAGTTCAAGAAGGCAAGCAATCCGACAACGGTCACAAGCCAGTAGAACAGGTCAAGTCGGCTGTTGTTCAAACTTGTACCCTCGAGCCACCCTCCCTGGTGCCCACGTCTCGTGGCCCTGTTCACTGCTTTCACCAGGAAAGTGGCCAGCAATGACGCGATCCCAACCTCGCACCAGAACAATGCGGTGGCGATGGATTTCATGCCCCGTGGCGCCTCGCTATTGAAGAACTCGAGGAGGCCCGGGAACGATGTCACGTCTGACACGCCCAGAAGGAAGAACTGAGGCGCGAGCCAGAACAAGGACATCTGAGTTGCAGAATCCTTTCTCTTTCTCTCAACAAGTGCTGCGATGACTGATGCGAGTATCATGGAGGCGAAGCCTAAGCTGATCCGCTGCAGGTGAGTGATGCCACTGGCGTAGCCAGTGCGCTTGCGCAAGAACGGCACAATGAACCGGTCATAGATGGCGAGCATTACCGTCTGGAATGTGATAGGGATGATGAAGAGTGACGCCGGGGAGATGTGGATCTTGCCAAGCCTTGTGTTTGTCATGCTACCTTGCTGCACAGTGAATGTCAAGATGATAGGATTCGATACATATCCGATCATGGAGCTGACAAACAGGGGAAGCATTCGAAGCACAATCTTTGTCTCTTCCACCTTCGCCACACTGCAATGTGACCAGGCTCCATCTTTCCCACTGTTAATGCAAGCTTTGTCGAGGAATCTGAGAAGATGAACGAAATAGTTTATAATTGGCAATACTAGTAGGGGAGGGCAATGCCCTCAAATCTCTTTGCCTGGAAATACCACATGAATGGCATGTACTTCTCTGAATCTTACTTCAGGTTATTTTTTCGGGAGAGTACTTCAATAGTGCCTGCCCCAGTACTAATTTCCTGTGCTTCTTCCAGTTTCTCGGGAAGCTCGAGCCTCCTGTTTCTGAATGCAACTACAAGAACCTGGAGCAGCAATGTTGTAGCTAATTAATAAGTGTAAACTGTGTGCTAATTGAGATGACGCTATGAGATTTTATATGTTTTCAACCAGGAATGAGCACAACCTGCAGTATTCGAGTTAGAGGGCTTCCTTCAGGTACTTGGTTGCGGTAGAAAGGGAGACCAGTGGCAACCACAATCAACCCAAGCAGAACAAGGATGGCACACAAGCCAAGTCCAATGTCCCACCCCTTGTAGGTCTCGAGCCACACAATGAGAATTAATCCTACTAAACCACCCAAGGAGATCCCAAAGGTGTACCAGTTAAAGAAGCTGGACTGTTGGCGGGACTCAGTGGGATCTTCATGGTCAAACTGGTCTGCTCCGAGAGATGGCAAGCAAGCACGGATGCAACCTTCGCCAAATGCACTGATATACAAGGCTGCATATAATAGGGTAGCATTCCAACCATGAACCTCTTTGCAGACAGTTCGTTCATCTTCAATATCGCAAGATGGTGGATGGAGTGATGGAAGGTAGGCTTGCAGTGCAAGCAATCCAAAGCCCTAAGAAGTGCATGCTTAGTGGATTACAAATGCTGTACATAATCACTAAGAAAGAGTGCATAAAGCAACTGTCAGATCGTGCACATTTGCTTAAGAACTTATCCAACATTATAAACGAAACCTGTTTTTGACTTAAAGGGACAATGGTTTAATGCATTTTAGAAGCTACCCCCTCCGTCCCAAAATAAGTGATGTTTTAGGTTTGTCCTAAGTCAAACCATTTCAAGTTTGACCAAATTTATAGGAAAGAAAATTAATATTTAGGACACCGAACATGTAGAATATGATAATATATTTCATGGTAAATCCAATAATACTTTTTTGGTGTCATAAACATTAGCATATATAGCAAACTTTACAGCAGAAATCAGTATATGGCCCGGGTGTAGCTACTACGATTTGTGTATCTCAATATTTAGGATATATATATATATAGACAAAGTGATCACCTGGGTTAATATGTATGTTAAGTATGCAACTATACATAGAGTATGTGGTTATACTTATTTTTATATACTAGTATGATGGTAGGGATCCTTTGAGTAATGCATATCATTGCATTAAGAAAAAAACTTGTTCAGTTTCAACCCTCAATTCATTGTTACATTACATGCCACAAAGGAAACCTGAAACATTATACTAGGCGCATACCGGTAAGCAAATTATCAGGAGCGTGTTAAATTGTTAATGTAGGACTTTAAATCTTACTTAAAAAAGAGATGCTAACAGTTAGGTGGATAATTGGACTTCACAGTCAAGATTATGCCAGAGGTATCTTGACACAGCAGGCTCTACGTCTGAGTTTTATGTTTCAGCTGTTTATCAAATCTATTTTAGTATTTGAGGCCCATCAATGATCAATGTGAACCAACATCAATTTGATTTACGTATATACTTAACAATATATGAGCATCAGAAAGTACTTCAGCAATTGGAGGTACTTAAATTGTAAACACACATGTTTATGGTAAGATCACATCCCAATAAGGATAGTTACACATTTATACTAAAACAAAAACAACTTCATTAAAAAATTTAAGTGACTTTGGTAGTCAACCCTTAGCACTAATGGCTTAGCTTTTTTCATCCACTTCTCCAATTGACAGAATTATGTCCTCACAAAAGAGGACGAAACTATGAAAAATAGTCTATTCTGTACTATTGGTAGGTTTGCATTTATTAACTGCAATGGAACGTGTAAAATATCCTGCAGCATGTAGATTGCATAGATCAAGAGCAAAATTACCACTTCGCAAAAAAAAAAAGAGAGTAAAATTACCAGAAACTCCAATGGACCAAAGAGAAGTATAGTTCTAGAACGACTGATGTACGAGTCTGACAGAAAAGCCCCTATCAAAGCAAACCCACTTGTGGCACCGACAAAATTAGTTACTGTAGTTGCAGAACTCGACACGCCCATATGCATTGTTCCGTGGAGATAGGTAACCAAATTCAGCAAATTGGGGACATTCACCATGCTTGTTACAACCGTTAGGACTGTAAAGGGGGAAAACATGGAGCAGAAGTTCAAAATTAATACATATTTCATCAGTGAAACATGTGTCCAAAATGACTACACACATAAATCAGGAAAGATATGAGTACAGCCACTTACAGTATATAAACATTGCTGCTCGAACACCTCCATGTACCTCTCTATGTATGGGGTTTCCTCTCCGGTCCACAAAGCCTCTAATTGCCATGGTGCTTCTGAAAAGATTCTTCTCTACTGCCTGCCCACTGTATCCCTCACAAACGAGATGGGTATAAATAAACGGTAGACATACGAATTTTAAGGGGTGATAGCAACAATTAGATAAATCAAAGTTTACTGCCTATTTTATGCCATCTCTATGACAAGGCCCACTAGTACCAACTACAGTTGACTTTTAATGTCCCTATCTTCTGCTGACTTAAATAATGAAATTGGACTCTACAAGTCTACTACAAGTATTGAAAAGCACTACAGGAAAAGAAATCAGGGACATGTATGGTTATAGAGGTTCACAAGTATGAAGCCATTCCAAGTGCATCGCTTGAACTTATCAGCCTGTCTTATCAGCCATGATATAATGTTTTTCTCTCACAACAAAACAACCGCAGCCGGCTTATCAGCCACAAAAACCATCAGCCGAACAACTTGATGTAAATCGATTCATTGTATTTGAACAATAGAATTTTCAAAATCTAAGTTGCTCTTAAAAATTGCAGCTTAACTTATGAAGAGGAAAGAGTTAGCCTGAAAGTGACATGATAACTTCTATCTAAATAAATAGCATAAAAAGACCTTACTGCTTGGAGTCTATTCAATAAATAGCTTTCTTGTGGTATTGCTGACATCTATTCTAATGGAATAGTACTCAACTACTCATCATGGGAATATGTCTGTCAGCGGCATGAGGGATGTGAAAGTTAGGTGGAAATGCTTAAGGTTGTGTTAATTTTATTCCATTTGTTATCAATACAGCAAGAAGTGCAATCATCCTTTGCTATTTTCACAAGACCTCAGGGCCACTGATATGGGAGAGTAAGCAGGATGATGCTCTTACAGGTAACACCTAACACCTACCAACTACCATGAGCGAAATGTTATCCAAGTAGATCAGACTGAAGTGAGCTTGGCTTCATTACAGCTGCTGCTGGCACCATCACCCCTGAGATAGTTTGAATAGTTGGTGACCTTCGCGCAACTGTGAAAGTGGTCACTGCTGACTAAAATGCCTACACTAAGACCTACTTGCCTGCATTTTCCGCGCTTATGCCACCATAGGAGTAGGAGGGCGAGATGGAGGCGCTCCAGCGTAGCGGTGGGGGAGGCTCTAGTTGAACTGTTGAAGGCGGCTGCATCTGCATAGCGCCAGGCAACGTGGGGCACGGGTTTCGCATCATGCGTGCATGAAGTTCACGGCGGCTACAGCGAGTGCGCGGTGGCAATGCGAGCAAGGTTGGCGCTCGGCGGAGGCGTCGAGCGAAGCGGCCTCGCCGTCGGCGGGCAAGTCGCTGCAAATCAGTCCCCGGGTTTTTGCAAATCAATCCCTGTACTTCTGCAAACCAGTGTTTTGGATCACAATTAATAAGCTTGATCCAGTGTTTTGCACATAAGCCCCTGTTTTGGGTTTAACTGCGTTCCAGTATTATGCAAATCAGTTCCAATATTTTGCAGATAAGCCCCTGTTTTGAATCGAGATTATTTTATTAGTAGCCTTAAATCTCTATTCTGAGTCGCCATTCATTAATCGTGATCCAAAATTCAAAATTTATTCAAATCAGTCCATATATATTTTCATATCAACCCTAAACTGGGCTGTAATTTCCAAAAATTTTACAGATCTATCCTATATGATGACCTCAACAGCAGCATACCGTGAGAGGTGTATCAGCTTGTGAGCCGACAAACGCTGGAGCGGGAGCGCATGATCATCGCTTGTGTTGTCGACTGTCTCGGCCCCATATGCTGAAAATTCATTCATGCTGAACCATATGGTATTAATGTTGCATCAATATATTCAAGCTGGCACTTTAGCTCTTACCAATTTGGCAATTTGACATATTTCTGTGTCTGAAGCTTACATTGTCACAAAGAAACACCCACTTACACTTGCACAAACTAGAACATTTCCTTTGATAAGGAGCATTTCCCAAATGTGAACTACTGCTAATGCTAAGTATAACGAATGATGTCCACCAATGATCTGCATACAATCAGGCATCTGAATACGACAACACACAACAGGCTCTAATCCATGTCATGGTAAACCAGACCACATGGTAAACCAGACCACACTTATCCTGCTTTTGCTGAACTGAAGGACGATCCTAGCAAGATATTTCAACGTGGATCCTGATCGACCGGTGGCTTGTCAGCGACGACGATGCGTGGATTGTGCCGGTATACATACCTCTTGGCCCAGAACAGGTAGTTCAAGAAGGCAAGCAATCCGACAACAGCCACAACCCAGTAGAACAGATCAAGACGGCTGCTGTTCAAGCTTGTAGCTTCGAGCCACCTGCCTGGTTCCCATGCCTCGTGGCCCTGTTTACTATCTGCACCAGGAAAGTGGCTAGCAATGACGAGAGCCCTAGGACACACCAGAACAAGGCTGCCGCGATCGACTTCATGCCTCGTGGCGCCTCGCTGTTGAAGAACTCGAGGAGCCCAGGAAATGATGTCACGTCTGACACTCCCAGCAAGAAAAACTGAGGCGTGAGCCAAAATAGGGACATCTGCACCGCAGCTTCCTTCCTTTTCCTCTCAACGACTGCTGCGATGACTGACGCGAGTATGATGGAGGCGAAGCCTATGCCGACGCGCTGCAGATGAGTAATGCCACTAACATAGCCTGTGCGCTTGCGTAAGAATGGCACCAGGAATTGGTCATAGATTGGAAGCATTACCATCTGGAATATGGTGGGGATTATGAACAGTGTAGCTGGGGAAACATGGATCTTGCCCAGCCTTGTGTTTGTCATGCCACCTTGCTGCACGGTGAATGTGAAGAGGACAGGGTTTGATACGTATCCGATAATGGAGCTGATAAACAGAGGAAGCACACGGAGCACAATCTTTGTCTCCTCCACCTTCGTCCTGCTGCAAAGTGACCAGGCTCCATCTTTCCCACGGTTGATGCAGGCTTTGTCGAGGATTCTGTCAAGATGCATGGAATAGTTTATAATGGGCAATACTAGAAACAATGCAATGCTCTCTACTCTATATAAATAGGCCTGCAGTGAAAAACGCATGTGTTTCTCTGAATCTTACTTCAAGCTTTTTGTTTCAGGGAGTACTTCAATAGAGCATGGCTCAGCACTGCTTTCTTGTGCTTCTTCCAGTTTCTCCGGAAGCTCAAGGCTCCTGTTTCTGAATGCGACCACAAGAACCTGGAGAGGCAAGATTGCAGCGAAATAATATTCACAACACACTTCTTGATAACTGAGATAAGATTTATGGTTACTAGGAAGGAGCACAACCTGCAGTATTCGGGTTAGAGGGCTTCCTTCAGGTATTTGGTTGCGGTAGAAAGGGAGACCAACAGCAACCACAAGCAGCCCAAGCAGAATTAGGATGGCACACAAGCCAAATCCAATGTCCCACCCTTTGTCGTTCTGAAGCCACACTACTAGAATCAGCCCTATAAAACCTCCAAAGGAGATCCCAAAGGTGTACCAATTAAAGAAGCTAGATTGCTGGCGTGACTCAGCGGGATTTTCATGGTTGAACTGGCCTGCTCCAAGGGATGGCATGCAAGCACGCATACAACCATCACCAACTGCACTGATATACAAGGAGGCAAACAGCAGGGTGGAATTCCAGCCATGGACTTCTTTGCAGTTACTTGGTTCTGCTTCAATATTGCAAGGAGGTGGATGTAGTGAAGGAAGGTGGGCTTGCAGTGCAAGCAGTCCGTAGCCCTGCACAAGTGAGTGTTTTGTCATGACAAAAAAAATACCGTGCATAAAGGTTAGAAAGGGTATCAACATGTGCATATTTACGTAAGGATTGATCCAAAATTACGACTTAAATCTGTCTAAATTCAGGAGGCTACCCTTGTAATGCCTTTCAGAAATTCTCTGTGGAATATCAGTAAAATTCTAGGAGGATGTTAAATTTTTAGTGCAGGACTTACTTAGCTAAGGGTGAAAAAGGAGAAACATTTACTTTGCACCCAAAAATAAATCCATTTCTTTCAATATTTCAATTGAGTGGACTTTGCAGAAAGATTATCACAGAGAAGTCATACTTCATGAATTGAAATGTAAAAAAAAAAAAACAAGGCATGTAAGTCAGAGTTTTACGTATGATCTGTTTATAAAGCCCATCACTGTTATGGATATGTACCCTTGGTAGGCCATTCTTACGGTACCTAACCAGACCCCTGAAATAGTTTTACATGTATACAGTATACCCAACTAGGCGTGAGCTCCTGAAGACGTATTCCTGTGCTTTTGTAAACTTTCAACAGTTTACCTTAACATCACCCTTCTTAGCATAATTTTTCCATTCAATTATCTAATTAAAAAAATCAAAAAAGTAATACCATGTTTTCTAATTTCTACTATTGTTACTTCAAATCTAGCAATAGCAACAGAACATGTAAAAATCCTTTAGGGTGTAGATGATTGAATACCAGAAACTCCAAGGGACCAAAGATAAGTATAGTTCTTGAGCGAGTGATATAAGAGTCAGAGAGGAAGGCTCCTATCAAAGCAAACCCAGATGTGGCACCAAGGACATTAGTAACTGTAGTTGCAGATCTTGACACTCCCATATGCATTGGTCCATGGAGATAGGTGACCATATTCAGCATATTTGGGACATTCACGATGTTTGCTACAACTGTCAGAACTGCAAGTAGGAAAAAGGTGGAGAAGAAGATTAAAAATAATAAAAACTTCAAATTCACAAGCCCTTACATCTGTAAATGTTACACTCATAATTCAGGAAAGATAGTAAATGAAACAAAGAATAGCGGATAGAGTATAGACACTTACAATATATAAACCATGCTGCTCTCACTCCTCCATGCACTTCTCTGTTGATGGGGTTTCCTCTCCAGTCTAAGAAGCCTCTAATTGTCATGGTACTCATCAAGATTTTTTCCTTTTCCCTCTTGATTACTCCCTGCCCGCTGAGTCCCTCAGATCTGAGGGGTATAAGTAAACTGACGGGGGTTCAGATCAAGGGGTGATAGAGACAACATGATCAACCAAAGTGTTTTTTCTTGCCTATTTTATTTTGTTTCTATCTCAAGCTCTGATAGTACAAATTCAAACATGCGAAAGTTGACTTCCAATGTTACTATTTGCTGCTGACTGAAATTTGGACGCTACAACATGTTCACATACTATAAAGGGGGGAAACAGGACATGTACAATGAGAGAGCTCAGCAAGTAATTATATGTAGCAGTCATCGTTTTCAGCATAACACCATCCTGAGTGCGACATTTTGTCACTTGACTACTAAAGTGCAACATTGATTGTTTTATGTAACAGTCATTTGAAAAGCTAACTTCCTCAGCAAAATAGTGCAGCCTAACTTATGAACAGAAAACACTACCATCTGAAATTGACATAATGACTATGTTGATGAGAATAACAAAATAAACTACCAATTGGTTCCCCAAAACATATTCTTTTAGATGATAAAAACCTTGCAAACAACAAATCATGGATCACCAATATTATCAGGAGTTGATACAGTAACAGTAATTAGAAAATAGCAGCAATAAGCAAATGAAGTCAAATGCAACCATCACCATAACACGAGAAGAAAAGTCTTGAAACCATGACAATTTGTTAGTCATCCGCTGAATCAATCCTGCCTGACAAAAAAAATGAACTACATCAGGTCACGGTCCTACCACACACAAACACACACAAATTAGCTCCTTGGTACAGCCACCTTATGCGATAATCACCATGTGAAGTCCCTTCATATTCACTACAGGAACAGGAGTATAATACCTGAAAGTGATGCGAGGGAAATGAAGGCAAATCAGAAAGGATTACAGTTACTAAGATCTTATTCAGGTTTCTACCATTTTTTTTTGAACGTAAAGGTTTCTACCATTTAAGTACGAAGTGAAATCACCTTTGCAATTTCTATGAGACCTCAGGGTCATCAATATGGAGGTAGTAAGCAGGAAGGTCACAAGTAGCAAAAGGAGATCCACGAATAGATATATCCAAAAGCAGAAACTGAAGTGCTCTAAATAGGTTGCTCAAGTAGTTAGTGAGTAATTAGCTATGTAAAACAAACCCCACACAGCCTAGGCTGCGGTGGGGAGCGCTGCTCGCGCATGTTGCTTTCTTCTTCTTATTATTATTAATCAAAGCCGGTTTACCAGATCTTTCAAAAAAGAAGAAGAAGTGGTCTAAATACAACTGCTGCTGTCAGCATCACACCTCCTTACTTTTTTTGAAAAAAAGATTTCCCTGTAGAAAGCACATAAAATTTGATATAACTAAAACTGCTGGGGCTTGGAACTTACAAGCTTGTAAATTCCTTCAATCGCTTCACCCTTGCTGGTTTCCCATCCCCGTATATATTCCCAAAAAGTATTTTCCGAGTATTTTGAGTTCTCAGCTTGTTCTGTTCCCCCTCTGCCTATATGGCTTACCCACCTTTATCTTCTCAGCATACCCCTTTGTTCATTCACTACCACAGTCAACTCCAAGTTTTCTTCTTCTGGGCATTATTCTTGGATATGATTGATGAGAGTTGAAATAGTAGCGTTCAGAAGTCAGAACACATAGAGCCGAGATAAGCAGTCATTGTTGACTAAACCATCCATACTGACGTGGAGATAGTATCTGCAGTTTTCTCAGACTTTTTGTATGAAGTAGTATGATTTATGTGTGCACTGACATGCTCACATGCCAAGGGGTGATGGGTACTTCAAGCATATGAAGATTGAAGAATACTAGCTGACACATTGACTTGGCTAATTGGGTTACATTGCAGGCCATCATCAATCCCCAGTTTTACCCTACACAGCTACACTATAGAAATAAGGATGTTTTCAGGGACATCAGGTATTTCACGATATGGCACCTACTCCTACATACGATTTCACTAACAAAAAAAGTGTAACGAAGACGCCATATTATCCAAATTCACAGAATTCCGGTAATATCCAAATTTACGGAATCTATGTTAGGTTTGTATTTTATTATCCTCTACGCGCACTGAAGACATCGGAGATAAGAACCAAATGAAATTGATCTAGCTACTGGTTGAGAAATACAATACACAACGAGCTGTCTGCATTCTTGAATCTTGATTCTTCGATTCCCTGCGCAGGACGCGGGCCAGCAGGGGTGAAAGGCCGGGAGCAGCGGCTGCTGGGGCGGCGACCTGGCCACCCGCCGTTCGCGATGGAGGAACCGAAGTGGATGCCGGCGTGCTGGCTGTGGGCTAGCACGGCCATCGCGGGAGTTCATCTGGCTTCTGGCATGTCTCCTGTACACTGTACAGAGGCACGCACATGCCACCACGGAGTTCCGCCCGAGAGCGGCGGCTGCGCGCGTGGAGTCCACGGCACGTCGGCACCTATGGTGAAGCTATGGTGAAGAGCGGCGACCCGAGCGAGGTTGGCGGAGGCCGCGAGCTGCGGACGACCCGGGCGTCGGCGGGCGGCAGCCGGCGGCCATGACATTTGGCAGCGCAAAATCAATCTCTGTCTCCCTCCATTTTTACACATCTGTCCCTAATTTGGATTGCGGAATTGTCCCTAATTTGGATCGTATAGTGCTCGAGCTCGAGGCTCGTATACTTACTGCTTATAACCGCGTCTCTGAGAGTACCTAATATTTCTTCGTAAAACATGAAGTTTAAATACTTCTAAAAAATTATTAAAAAAAATAAAGAAGACAACCTCTAAGAATTTTTAATAATTTATTCTTAAAATATAGAAGACAATTTTACATTAGAAATTATCGGTGCAGAAAGTAATCAATACGTAAATATTTGTAGTTTTGTTATACGTTGTGATCGGATGTGACCTAGCACTCAATGACACATGGTTTATACTGGTTCAGGCAACGTGCCATACGTCTAGTTTGAGTTAATCGATGACTTTATTCCTGAGTCTAGGTGCTCGAAGTTTGTTGTGGGGTTATAAACGAAAGGAAGAAAGATAAGGGTACAAGAGTTTCGGTTGGACTCTAGTCTGAAGGGTCGAGAGTGACGGGAGTTCCACTATGTGCTAAGTGTTCGAACGTGAGCTCCATGTAGCTTTAGAGTGTCTAAAGCTATAGAGAATGAATCGATATAAGTGAACTGAGGGATCTTCCCGTTGGGAGAGAGCGCATCCCCTTTTATAGATGAAGGGGGACGGCCTTACAAACAAGAGAGAGAGTACGTATGCTACTAAGTCTTGTTGCCCACGCCGTCGGGTACAAGATGATTATAGGCGCCCATAACACTGTTAATGTCAGATGCATGTGGGAGGTTGCGTCGTCTTCTTCTGATATGGCAGACGTCAGTGCCTGCCATACTGTTGATGCCTAGAGGCATGTAGGAGGTTTTATCATGTGCGTCTAGTACGGTAAATGTCGGCGTCCACAACACTGTTGATGCTTAGAGACATGTGGGGAAGCCTTACCGTGTTTGTCTGGTACAGGAGTTGATGACGTCCACAACACTGTAGGGAAAAAATATCGACGCCCACAACACTGCAACCTTCCTGACATGCCAGAAAGGTAGCAGGGTACTGTCCTGTAGGTATATAGAGTACGGTTGACTTGAGTGCCCTGTCTTACCTTCTTCGTCCGTTTTCTGGTCCTTACTGAGCGGGCGTCTCCGGTCGGTTGGTCTCAGTCGGCTCCGACCGCGTTAGTCGGGAAAGAGCTGTAAGCAGGGGTTCGGTGCATCCCCGGTCAAAGACGCGGGTCGAAGTCAAAAGTGGTGTTTGGACAGGCCTTCCGATCGGAGAGGCGGGCCGGAGTTGGAAGCAAGCATTGTTCCTCCTTAGCGAGGCCTTCTTGTCGGAGAGGCGGGCCGGAGTCAGAAGCAGGGGTCGTTCCTCCTCGGCCAGGCCTTTCGCTTGGAGATTGGATCGTCCTTCTGGCCTATCGTTTAAGTATTTGGGCCGGCCTAGGAGTTTGTGCAACGTCGTGTGCTGGGCCGAGTCTTTGCTGAAAAGCCGGTCCATAAGGGACCCCGGGTTTATGAACTCAACAGGCGCTCCCGAGCCTCTGGACGATTCGGGTAGAATCGTCTGGGGGATTTTTGTCTTGACGGCTAGCCCCCGAGCCCCCGGGTGATTCGGGTAGAATCGTCTGGGGGGGTATTTTGTCTTGTCAGCGGGGGAACTTTTTGTTTGTTTGACAGCGGGTGCGCGCGAGCGCACCTGCGGGTGTAGCCCCCGAGCCCTCGGGTGATTTAGGTAGAGTCGCCTGGGGGGTTTTGTCAGCGGACGTGTGTGTGTGCACCTTGATCGAGATAGAGTCGTCAACCAAGTTGTTTTAGGGATCGGGCGAGACGGGCTCGCAGACCCAGGCATCGGGAGCAGCCGATGGATCGGGCGAGGACCCGTCGTGCGCAACCGAGGCAGTTTTTAGGGATCGAGCGAGACGGAGCTCGCGGATCCTGGCATCGGACGCAGCCGAGGGATCGGGCGAGGCGGACTCGCGGACCCGTCGTGCGCAGCCAAGGCAGTTTTTAGGGATCGGACGAGATGGAGCTCACGGATCCTGGCGTCGGGCGTAGCCGAGGGATCGGGTGAGGCGGACTTGTGGAACCATCGTGCGCAGCCGAGGTAGTTTTTAGGGATCGGGCGAGACGGAGCTCGTGGATCCTGGCGTCGGGCGCAGCCAAGGGATTGGGCGAGGTGGACTCGCGGACCCGTCGTGCGCAGCCCAGGCAGTTTTTAGGGATCGGCCAAGACGGAGCTCGTGGATCCTGGCGTCTAGCGCAGCCGAGGGATTGGGCGAGGCGGACTCGTGGACCCGTCGTGCGTGGGCTTTTTGGAATTCGACCATTATGGAAAGGGGCTTCGATGATTTGCCATCCCGCAATAGGGCTTCGCCACCTTGCCGTTACGAAACGCGACCCATCTGCTAGAATGCCATTCGAG